TCTTTTTCTTACTTCTCTTTTTCTTTCGTTTTGTTTGGTTGGTTTGGTTTTGAGACAGAGTCTATTTGTTAGCTTTGGCTGTCCTGGAACTCACCACGTAGACCAGGCTGGCCTGGAACTCACGGAGACCTGCCTGCCTTTGCCCAGCAAGTGCTGTTATTAAAGATGTGTGCCCCCGGGCTGGAGAGATGGCTCAGTGGTTAAGAGCACTGTCAGTTCTTCCGAAGGACCCAAGTTCAATTCCCAGCACCCACATGGCAGCTCACAACTGTCTGTACCTCCAGTTCCAGGGGATCTGACACCCTAACACCAATGCACATAAAATAAAGTTAAATAAATTATATATTAAAAAAAGATGTGGAGTTTAAAAAAAAAAAAAGATGTGTGTCACCATCCTGGCATTCTTCTATATTTTTTATTCACTTATCACTACAAATAGACACAGAGACCTAATACCTCTAACTGCATATACATACACGAGCTTCCTTTTTGTTGTTATTTACTTGGAAGCTCCTGGCAGAGGAAATCTAGCCTTTGCCTATGACTCGGAAGGACTGAGAATGATTCCAGAGCCTGCTGTACGCTGACCACACACTCTGCTCCTCAGATGCACACACTGAGCCACGATACCTTTACAAGTTATTTATGCTTTTAATTTACGTTCTTGTGTGTGTGTGTGAATATTTTGCCTGCATGTGTGGGCACCACATGTGTGCCTGAGGAGGCAAGAAGAGGGCACTGGTTGTACTGGAACTGGAATTACAGATGGCTGTGGGGTACCATGTGGGTGCTGGGAAAGAAACCTGTGTCTTCCGTAGAGTAGCCAGAGCTCTTATCCTGAGTCATTCCTTTAACCCCGTTTTTTCAAATTGACCTTTAACAACTGCACCTATTTGTGGGAGGGGACCGAATAATCATTCAGTACATGCATACAGTGAACAGTGAACAAACAGTTCAATTAGCATTTCTGTCTTCTTGAATATCTATTATTTCTTTGCATTTAGGATCTAGCAACTCATCTCTTGTACTTCTCTGTAAAATATGTAATGAGCAGGCACTGAGGTGCCTCACCCAGTAAAGGTGCTTCCCGCCAATCCTGACAACCCGAGTTCAAGCCCCCAGAACCTACAAGGTGGAAGGAGAGACTCAACTACTACCAGTTATGCTCTGGCTGCACAACAATGCTTTGCCACTTGAGTACCTGCCATGCTCAAAATAATGGGAAGTGATGGTGGTGGGGTTTTGAGACATGATTTCTTTGTATAGCCCTGACTGTCCTGCAACTCATTTTGTAGACCAGGCTAGCCTCCAACTCAGAGACCCATCTGCCTCTGTCTCCTAAATCCTGGGATTAAAGGGGAGATCGTTACACTGTTGGAGGTTGTTCTGCTTGTATTTTGATGCTACTTACTGACCCTCAAGATTTAGTTACTGACTGGATACACCTATCCTTGTTGAGTAAACCTGCTTAAGACATTATTCCTGATTGGTTGATTAAAAGGCCTAAAACCTGGGCAGGGCAGAATGGGATAGGTGTGGCTAAGGTTCCTGCACTTTGGATTCAGGAGAATCATTGGAAACAGGATGAGAGGAGGAAAGAGGACACCAGGATGGGGTAATGTGGAGAAGGAACCACGTGGGCTGAGAGTAAGGACTCCAAGGATGGCATAAAAAGAACCACCAAGATGGAAAATCTAATCAAGTATTTATAAGCTTATGGATGGAAGGTAGTCCAGGTATGAATGGTTAATGTGGGTGGTATTGGAAGGGGGCTGGGAAACAGATGAGGAGGTTATTGAGATAGCAAAGGTGGAAATATCTACCCAGCCCAAAGTAAATAAGGCAATTATAAAATCTGACAGGTGTCTGCGTCTATTTCGATAGAGGGTTAACATACTGCTGAAAAAATTATAGGGCAGATAATACATAACATTATTTAGCCCAACACCATTTTATTTACAACACTACACCTGGCTTAAAATAATGTATAAAATTATAAAATTTATATAAACTGGGTGTGAGAGTGTGTGTCCTGGGTCCCAGTGGAGAGATGATCATGAGTTAGAGGCTGGTTTTGGCTACAATTATAGACCCTGTTGAAAAAGCCCAGCTCGGGGGCTGGAGAGGTGGCTCAGTGGTTAAGAGCACTGTCTGCTCTTCCAACAGGTCATGAGTTCAGTTCCTGGCAACCACATGATGGTTCACAACCATCTACAATGTAAACTGATTCCCCCTTCTGACAGGTGTAAATACAGACAGAACACCCATATACATAAAATAAATAAGTTTTTGAAAAACAAAACAATTATAAAACAAAAAATTAAAAAAAAAAAAAAAAAGCCTAGCCGGGTGTGGTGGCAGAAGCTTTTAGTCCCTTGGGAGGCAGAACTGCAGGTGATTACGAACTAACTGATGTGAATGCTAGGAACTGAACCTCAAATCCTCTCCAATTTTTCAAGACAGGGTCTTACTATGTAGCCTTGGCTGGCCTAGAACCATTATGTAGACCAGGCTGGCCCCAAATTCACAGAGACCCACATATGTGCTGACGGCTGGAACTAAAGGTATCCTGCCCAGCCTTATTCATTTATTTGTTTTTGTGTGTGTATGTGTGTGTGAGAGAGAGAGAGAGCGTGAGTGTATGTATGCGCACCACAAGCCTGAGGCCTTGATCACATGCAGATCAGAAGGCGGCTTCAGGCCTCCTGGAACTGGAGTTACAGGGGGTGTTGAGCTGTCATTTGAGTGCAGAAAACTGAACTCAGTCCTCCTGAAGAACAGCCAGTGCTCTTAATAGCTGAGCCATCTCTTCATCCCCCAAGATCAACTTTTTAAAGTCCGTGTTTCAAACAATGGATCTTTTTTCCTGACCAACACTGCTCGTGTTCTGTCTCTGCTTCCACATCCAATTCTCTTTGTAGAAGTTTCAGGCCAGGTAGACAGAAACTAGATAGCAAGTAGTATTTGTAACTGGGTCTTGCTGTTGCTCTTGCTACATGACCAGAGTCCTTTAACCTTTAGAGGTAGGACTGCTGACAGTGTTATTGTGAAATCATTTGCATATTGTGAAGTAGTTTGCATAAGATGGCATGGTTTGCATATGGGGAGGAAGATAGCTTTAAAGTTCCAGTGTGGCATCCCTAAACATCAAGCTGTGCCAAAGAACCTGACCAGGCATTCTGCTTCACAACTTTCGTAAGTACCCAGAAGCACATCCTGGGACACTTATGGGGCTGGTAAGGAGAGCCAGACAGGAAGCATTTGGAAAGAGCTGGAAGTCTAGGAAACACAAGACTGTAGATATTAAGAGTATATCCGCCAGGAGTGATAGATGGTGCATGCCTTTAATCTCAGCACTCTGGCAGAGGCGGGTGGGTATGTGGTTCATTGAGTGCTTCCTTGGCATGCACAAGACCCTGGATGTCAACACTGCATAAACCTATAGTCAGGAGGTCCACAAGTTCCAGGTCATCCCCTGCCACACAACAAGTTCAAGGTCAGTCTAGGATGAGACCTTATATCAAATAAATACATAAATAAACCAAGAGTAGTGGCACCCGCCCTTAATCAAAGCAGAGGCAGGAGGATCTCTGTTGAGTTCTAGGCTAGCCTGGTCTACAAAACAAGTCCAGGACACCCAGGACTACACAGAAAAACCTTGTCTCAAAAAAAAAAAAATACACACACACACACACACACACACACACACACACACACACACACCAAGAGTGATAGCACAAGTATTTAATCCCAGCCCTAAAGAGGCAGAGGCGGGCAGATCTCTTTAAGTTCAAGGCCATCCTTGTCTACATAGCAAGTTCCAGGACAGCCAGGGCTACATAGAACCAATCGCAAAATAACTAAAACAATAAACAGGCACGCACAATGGAGTTAGGCATCCCCTGTGATGTGTGCGAATTCAGTCTGCTCTCTAGAGCATCCAGAAGGAAAAAGTGACCAGCAACAGGTGTAGAGAGCTGCCATGAGAGGTGAGGACTAAGGAGAACCAGAGCCTCAAGAAACCTTCACTCTGTCCCAGTCTGCACAGAGGGGAGTACCCATCTGGCCTCTGCAGAATGTTCTTCTAGCTCAGTTGCTGACTGACTCCGAAAAGAATGCGAAGGAGATGTCGGGCCACCGTCACAGCTGAGTTCAAGCTTAGCTATGAGGTGGCTGCAACATGCGCCTAGGTAAAAGGTACATCTGAGTTGCTCTGCCATCTGTGTGGCTGCCGGACCCGAGGTGGACAGTACCCATCTAAAAGATAAAACGAGGATTTGGTGAGATAACACTAATTACTGAGTGGCGTGTAACAGACATCAGGTTAAAAAGCTACACTAAATCAGGGCAGTCATTTGCCATTAAATGCTCCACTAGCCTTAAGAGTTCAGGCGGAGCTTCTGTGGGGTTGGTTAAAAGAACACGAAGCTCTTCGCGTCCCGGTTCCAGGCACAGGATCTAGAAATATGTATTGGACCTCAAAGGGTTACTGTCCTGGAAACAGTGGCCTGAGGTTCCAAGTGAAAAACCAAAGCATAAAAATAATTCGATGAGTAAGAATAAAATTCCCTCTTCTGAGGTACCCGGGGCCAGGCCCCTCCTTGCGGCAGGCACTTCCCCTTTCCCGAGCTCATGGAGGAGCCAGGCTCGCTGACTCAGAGAACCACAGCCGAGCTCTTTTCCCGAGTCGGAGCGGCCTGGCAGCCGCGCGCGCCCCCGTGTGGCCGTTGCTGGGACTGCAGTCTCAGGAGGGCGGCAGCTGGCACGCTCAAGCCCCGCCGCCCGGGTGTTCGCGGTGCCCGCGTGGGTGCCGCCCTCGCCCCAGTTTAGCATGGCTGAACGCGGTGCCGGTGGGGGTACCCACTTCCGTCCTGTCCACCGCGCAGTCCCGTAATCCTGCCCTAGCGGAAGTACGCTGACCGCGCGGGTCCCCCGTGGCTAAGAGGCGGAAGCGCCCCCCCGCCGCCGCTCCGTCTAGGCCCCCGGAGCCGGGCGCGTCGGGTTCCGGGCTGTCCGTGTGACGTGGCTGCGCGCCGGGGGTGGCTCCGGGCTGGGGGCCTAGTGGCTGGGCCGGGCGAGGCAGAGCCGGGGCGGGGCGCGGGACTGCAGCTGGATGGCCGGGCCCGCCCGGAGCGCTGCAGCTGCCGCCACCGTCACCTCTGCCACTGCACGGTGAGTGATTGCTGGACCCCTAGGCCCACTTCGGGGGCGGGATGCTTGCCAAACCTGTCGCGACTCGTTTAGGAGTTGAACTTGCCTCCTTCTGACTCTTCTTTACCCCGGTGCCCCGCACTCCGCCCCTCATCTCTCCCTGCTGTCCCGCTTCTTGTATCTTCCTTCCATCAGACACTCTGGTTCACTTTTTTGACACTCCTTTCTCTTGCTTTCACCTTTCTCTCCATACCTCTACTTCTCTGCTAAACTTGTGGTCCTCTCGCCTCTTCGTGACCTCCTTCCTCCCCCTACCCCGCCACCCGCAGGACTTGGCCTGGCTAGGGCCTGCCTTTATCCCAACGAAGCTTCGCTCATTTTTTTTTTGTGATGCTGGCAGCGGTGGTGGTCGAGGGATGTCTCACTAATTAAGACATGAAGATCCCAACACAAGCTTCTAGTACACCAACCAAAGGCAGATGATTTCTCTCTTCGGATCTGTTAGCAGATGAAGAAACTGAGGCAGTTTCAAGGTCACAGCCAGTATCAGTCAAGGCAGACCAACATTTAAACTTTCCAGACTGAACTTCTTGCCTGGTTGACTCACGTCCCCATCCGGTGATTTGTCTGCAGAGCACATTCCTTCTGGGAGAGCTTCACTACCTCCCTGGCATTCAGATGACTTATGTTCCCTCCTCCATGCCAGTAGCTACCTGCATTGTCAAGCTCACCTCATATTCATAACTCTGTGAGGGAGGCAGTATCTCATCCATTCCCTGATAATACTGGGATGGGACGACCGGAATTGTCCACAGTCAGTGTATAATCTAGAGCACCAAATTAATTGGCCACAAATCACCGTAGCCTTGGCTCCGGCATCTGTGAGGCATCCCTCCTTCAGCCTCACCTCTTGTCTCTTGGTGCCCAAGAACAACGAGATCATTTAGGAGGAAGAGGTTTTGGACCATGACTTAGTTTCCCCACCTGTGCTCCTCAGTGCCGCCCCATCAAGCTAGACAGTGCTGGCCTTAGACCCCGGGGTGTCTTCACAGGCATATTCTGGCAGCTGAGCCTCTCCTGGCAGCTAGAGGCACCCATCAGGGATGGGCCCTCTGGTGGCTGAAGGAGCCCAGCCAGCGCCTCACCCAGTCATTAAGGAAAGTTTAGCCTCAGGCGGACACATTGACACATCGGCTGGAGCCAGCTCAGAAGGAAAAAATGTGTGGTTCTTCGGAAAAGTAGTGGGGGGCGGGAGCTCAGTGTACCCTACCCGTGGGATTCTGTGTCCCCTGCAGAGCAAATAGGAAGGTGATGTCATGGCCAGTTAAGAGAGAGGAGAAGCTGTGCTTGCTACCAGGGTATGTGGTCCAGGAAGGCAGCTCACATGAGCAGTCTTTGTGTCTTCTAGCACCTGGCATGCCTGGATGTTCCTGTCCTGGCTGTGGTATGGCAGGCCGGAGGCTCCTCTTTCTCACTGCCCTTGCCCTGGAGCTCCTGGGAAGGGCTGGAAGTTCCCAGCCAGCCCTCCGGAGCCTGGGGGCTGCAGCCGCCTGTCGCCTGGATAATAAAGAAAGCGAGTCCTGGGGGTCTCTGCTGAGTGGGGAGCGGCTGGACACCTGGATCTGCTCCCTCCTGGGTTCTCTCATGGTTGGGCTCAGTGGGGTTTTCCCCTTGCTGGTCATTCCCCTGGAGATGGGAACCATGTTGCGCTCAGAAGGTGAGTACCCTGCCGATCAGCCAGAAGGGTAGGAAACATGCTGCTTGCTCTTGAGACGTGGCTCAGCTAATTAAGAGTGCAAACTGCTCTTCCCAAAGATCCAGGTTCTACTCCTAGCACTCATTTCAGGCAGCTCACAACTGTGTGTAACTAGAGCTCCAGCGGGATCCTTTGGTCTTGGCAGGCACCTGCACTTGTATATCTATAACTAAAAGTAAGAAGACTACGCCTTTAAAAAGAAAAAGAGAGGCCGGTAAAATGGCGCAGTGGGTAGAGGTGCTTGTCTTTCAAGCCTGGAGAACCGAGATCATTCCTGAAACCCAGGTTACACTCCACAAGGTTGTCCTCTCACCTCCATATGCGCACCCAGGCATCCATACACACACCCTGTAAGTAAAAATAAAGTGGAATAAATACCCTTATTCTTCTGCCGTCTGCCAGGCTCAGGGGCCACTCAGTCCTGCGGATGGCTCCCGGATGATGGTGCCTGCCTGATGGTTACTACGAGTGGTGAATAGAGCTCTCCTGGAGCCTGTCCTGCCCGGTGCAGCAGGCATCCCTGTTGAGACAGCCTAGGTAGTGAGGCAGCTCTGTGGTGGAATGGAAGGAAGGCTTGGTGTTTGTGAGGCTTGGGCAGGGTGTGTGAGGTATGAAGCATCTGCTCTCTGGCCAGTTTTGGAAACAGCAGGGTCCCCTGGGGTTCACACCCTACCACCAGCTGCATCTGTCCTCGAGGCCTCAGTTGCTCTCTTAACTGATAAACCGAATATGGTTGTCAGGGTACGCTTCCAAATCTGGGTGTGCAAGCCAGTAGAGGTCCCCAGGTTTCTGTCAGTTTTCTAAGGATCGCACTTGCCGAGGAGGTTCCCCTTTATTGAACATTTGCTCCATGCATTGTGGCTTAGTTCTAACAAGATCCCGTTTTTACATGGGGAAACTCAGTCTCAGAAGCTATCTTCTGGTTGCCAGCAGATGGATTGGAGAGCTGGGCTTGCCAAGGCCCAGGCCCATCTCTTAACCATTATGCAGGAGTCAGTGCATCCACAGTGACTCTCCAGACTGTAGTATGATCCTCCTGAGCACTCTGCCCTTTCTGGGCCTGTAGACTTGGGAAGACCCAAAAGAGTGGTGCCCCAAATCCAGCCTCTAGGAACTTGCGGTCTAGAAAGCCAGTTAGATGTGTGAGCCTGGGGACCGTGGCTCGTGGACCTCACGGCTCTGCTTTGCAGCTGGAGCATGGCGTCTGAAGCAGCTGCTGAGCTTTGCCTTAGGCGGACTCTTGGGGAACGTGTTTCTGCACCTGCTGCCGGAGGCGTGGGCCTACAACTGTATCATCAGCTCCGGTGAGTGAGTCCAGGGGGCAGGATTGGCATGCAGAGCTGGTGCCCATGCCCACCCAAGTTAGCCTAGGCCCTGCCAGCTCTGCAGGGTCTGGGAGAGGGGAATGGGAAGAGAGAGCCAGAGAAACTTGTCTGAGAGGGAAGGGCTAAACCCAACACCCTGTCCTTTTTTTGGGAGTCCTAGGGCCCAGCTGCTTGTTCAGCAGGTGCAGCCCCAACCCCAGACCCTACCCCACAGTGCCTCACCTCCCTGGACTAGCCCTGGTCTAGGCCCCGTTCCACCTGGCTCCCTTCTAGCCACTGGCTTGGCATGGCCTGTTAGTGCTCCCCCTGCAGGTGGTGAAGGCCAGAGTCTGCAACAGCAGCAGCACCTGGGGCTCTGGGTCATTGCTGGCTTCCTGACCTTCCTGGCATTGGAGAAGATGTTCCTGAACAGCAAGAAGGAGGACCTCAGCCAGGTAAGTCCCAAGCCCCAGAGCCTGGATATGTCAGGCTTTTTTTACTAAAGTAGTACCCAAAGCCTAGAGAAGCCCAGGGTCTGATTAAGGCCTCCCAAAAGATAGATCTCCAGGCTGTCTTTCTTGACAGCGAAGGGAGGGCAGGCCACACTTCTTCAGGAGACTCTTGAGAGCGACAGCGTTAGCCTCTGAGGTAGTTTGAGCCTATAGATCAGTGGTTCTCCACCTGCGGGTCATTACCCTTTCCTAAGTGTTGCCTGAGACCATCTGCATATCAGATATTTATAACTCACAACAGTGGCAAAACTACAGTTATAAAGTAGCTGCGAAATAATTTTATGGCTGGGGGTCAGCACAACATGAGGAGCTATGCTACGGGGTCTCAGTGTTGGGAAGGTTGAGAGCCACCGTACAAATGGATAGGGACGGTAGTGTGAGGTTGAGGTCTGACGTGCTGATCCAGCGTGTGGATCAGCGAAGTCTAGCCAGGTCGAAGAGGTAATCCGTGTCTCCTGTCCTTCTCACTCTCTCTTTCTGCCTGCCTGTCTGAGTGGGGGCATCTAATGTCTCCTCTCTCTCCTTCTTCTGGCCGTAGGCCCCCAGCAAAGACCCCACTGCTGCCGCGCTCAATGGAGGCCACTGTCTGGCCCAGCCGGCTGCAGAGCCCGGCCTGAGAGCCGTGGTCCGGAACCTCAAAGTGAGTGGCCCATGAGGGCCCCCCTCCTGCAGCTGCAGAGATGAATGACCGACTCAGCTCTGCCTGCCTGGCTCAGCCCGCCTTTCTCTCCCCTCATCCAGGTCAGTGGCTATCTCAACCTGCTTGCCAACACCGTAGACAACTTCACTCATGGACTGGCTGTGGCTGCTAGCTTCCTTGTGAGCAAAAAGGTAATGGGGGAGGGGCAGGTAGAACTCTGGCCTTTCTGGTGGGAAATATCTAGCTATTGGATCAGTCTCCCAAACAGAAGTCTGCTTCTTGCTTTTATTAACAGTACCTTGGGAAGCCCTATCCTTGTCCGTCCCCTGGGTGCTGCTATCATCTCTTCCCTGTCTGGCTTCACCTTTATTGTCCTCAAAGATGTATTTTTATTTGCATGTGTGTACTGGTGCCGCATGTTTGTGTGTTCTCGGAGCCAAAAGATCCTCAAGCTGGATTTGGATCCCCTGGAGCTGGAGTTACAGGCAGTTGTGAGCCTCCTAATGTGGATGCTGGGAACTGAACTTGGGTCCTCTGGAAGAGCCGTAAGCACTCATAATCTGCAGTTCTCCAACCTCCCCACTACACCTTCTGTTCCAAGCTACTGTTGTTGCCAGCACTCTTCATTTGGGTGCCTTTATCGAGCTCCTAGACTTGGCTCTGGCCACCAGTAGATGCTTCTTCTTTCACCTCCCACTGTCTTCTGTGCTCTGGCCCCAGTGGTCTGTCTACCCCTAACACTGCCCATTCACCGTGCCCTCTGTCTGGAGTGTCCTTCCTCCCACTCTTGGAAAAGCTGACCTCTCACCCCTCGGGCCTCAATTTAAATGTACTTCCAAGAGGCATTTGGTGCTCTCATCCTCCACTTAGGCACCTGTCCATAATCTTCATCACACTGCTGCTCCCTGTGGAGCCACACAGGTGTCTGTGGTTTCTAATCCTGTCTTTACCAAGCATGTCCAAGCTGTAGTGCGGAGGCTGCACGTGTCCCAGTGTGCTGTGAGTGCAGCCCACCACATCTGTAGATGACATCATGTTGCCATATTAGGTCTGAGAGGCAGGCTCTGTTTCCTTTAGCCACGCCTGTCTTGCCTATAGCTTCAGTGTCCTGCACAGAACAGTCTCAAGGCAGAACACATGTTTGTAGAGGGAGTGGGTACGGGGAAGCCTCGTAAGCCAGTAAAGGCTCAAGCTCCCGTCTCTGCAGATTGGGCTTCTAACCACCATGGCCATCCTTCTGCACGAGATCCCCCATGAGGTAAGTGCCCAGTGTGGCCTCAGGGCCTGGGATCCCAAGGTTCCCATGCTCAGCATGGGTGTGGAACTTGTCCAAGGCTTTGGGGTGGGCTGGGAGGTGGGGCACAGCTTCATTAGGTACTGGCGGAGGGGTGGGGTAGACCGAAGGCTGGGTATTCATGTGATGTGGGCCTAGGTAAACGTCTGGGCCTTTCCTCAGGTGGGTGACTTTGCTATCCTGCTCCGGGCTGGCTTTGACCGATGGACTGCAGCCAAGCTACAGTTCTCTACAGCCCTGGGGGGCCTTCTGGGGGCCTGCTTCGCCATCTGGACACAGTCTCCCAGAGGAGTAGGTATGAGAGTGGTGGACAGTGGTGCTCAGTAGGGGTACCTTTGCTCTGTTGCTATTGGGCTAATGTCGGCCTGGTGTCCCCTGTGGGAGAGGGTGGGGTACATACTGTTCCCTAGGCTCACCCCCAGTTGGTCCTCCCTACAGAGGAGACAGTGGTCTGGATCCTGCCCTTTACCTCTGGAGGCTTTCTCTATATTGCCCTGGTGAATGTATTGCCTGACCTCTTGGAAGAAGATGACCCCTGGTGAGTGACCCACTGGGACGGCCATCGAGGGGGCCGTCCATCAGTGTGCTGCCTGCCCGTCCACTCACGCAAGCCCCCCCCTCCCGACAGGCACTCCCTGCAGCAGGTGCTGCTGCTCTGCTCCGGTGTCGTGGTGATGGTGCTCCTCTCGTGCTTCGTCGAGTAACCGTTGCCGATACCCCACTCTGCAAAGCGAGCAATAAGAGACTCCAATTTGTTCTGTGACTGTGTGTGTGGGGCGGAAGGTGAAGGCTTGGCCCAGCCTCTCCTTGGGCCAAGGGGCTGCGTGGTGTGCACGTGCAGCCAGAGTGTGCGTGACCGAGACTGACACTGTGATGCGTGTGCAGAGCCCACCACCCCACCTGCCTCACCACCCCACTGTCTTCTGGTAGTAAGGAAGGACAGCACTGGTGCCACCACAGGCCTCACGTCTTACTCAGCAAAGAAAGCAGCCCAAGGAGCCCAGGGCTACAGAGAGGCCCAAAGTTGTTCCTCCTGGGCCCCGAGCCCCAAAGTAATTAAACCTCTGCCCGTACATCTGGGCCCCAAGCACCTTAGAGGCAGAGGCTGCACAGCTTTCCTCTACTGTCCTTTTGCCTAGCCCTTCCTACAGCCAAAGAAAGGGGAGGTGGGTGCTTTGTCGCCCCAGCCCACTCAGCACTGATGTCCTATCCCTCCCCAGCACTGAGCAGGCAGCAGCTCCAGGACCTCTTCCTAGGGGCCAGCAGCCTGGCCAGCAAATGCCTCCAGCTGCACAGGCAGCTCTCACCACTTAGCTGCCAAACAGCGGTCTGCAAATCAGTGAGTAGTCCCTCTCCCGATGAGGCTCTCCAGGATGCTCCTGCCAGCGCAGGGTCCAGTGGACATGCCCCCGGCAGGGAAGAGTGAGCCTAGCTGCCAACCCTGCTCAGGCCCCTTGTCCTTTGGGTTGAGAGTAAGGTGGGCGTGTTGAGGGCTCCACATTGTCAGTGCTCAGGAATGTGAACTGGGAGAATGCTGAAGCCATAATCCCCAACTATTTCCCTTGGCTGACGCCCAGGTACTCAGCTGGCCCAGTCTACAGCCAGCCTCCAGCCCTGCTGCTCAACTGTGGGTGTTAGAGAACTTCTAACTGAAGAATCTGAATGATTCCATAGCAGTTATGCTATGGCTCATCTTTATCTGTAAATACTTGTTCTATAGAGATAAATAAATATTACTAGACTGGCTGCCTGGTCCTGTGCTAAGGCAGTCAAGCAGAGCTCTGGCTAAGTGCTCCTGCCAGGTCTGTCTGTTGCACTTGCTGTGTCTCTGAAGGTTTCGTACTTTCCTGCCTTGTTTTATTGTTAGCCTTTTATTCCAGTACTGCTTGAGCACCCATTTGAGCCTTCATCACCATCAGTGATCTTAAACCTACACTTTGAAAAACAGGAAAAAAACAGGAAGGAGGGCATGGGAAGAGCATTTGATACAGTAATACATCGGGTAGAATGATGAATTGAAGGCCAGCCTGGGCTAAGACCCTGTTTCACTTGCGCCTTCCCACACCCCCCACCTCCCAAATACAGGCAGGAGGAATCCCTTCCTCTGACTGCACCCCGGTCATCACACACACATCACTGCTTCTCCAGCAGCAGATGCAGTAAGAGTCCCGTGCGGTCTAACCCACCCAGAGCCAACAGACTTCAGCAGCCCTGTGTGCTGCACAGATGAGTCCAGCACAAGTAGGTGGGAACCCCATCAGCTGCCCCTTAGCTGGGAATGTGCAGCTGTCAGTGAAGAGGAAGATCTCTTCCACCTAGGTGACACGGGTAAGAGAACTGTCCAAGGACCTCAGGACTGAAAGGTCCAAGCCCAATTGTCTTTCGTGTCAGCAGGTGTTCAGTCAGGGCTGCTGCTGTGGGGTGAAGGCCTGTTGGGAGGCTGACAAGCACATGCCAAGGATTACTGTCCACCACTGTACCCAGCCCAAGGGATATAGAAGGGGACCCCGTTATGTTAAGGAAGCAGGGAAAAGTGAGGGTGGTACCCACACATTCCCTTTCATAGCCGAGAGCAAATTCCATCTGGTTGGCAAGAAAGATGGCACCAAAGACCAGGCCAGAGGACAAAATCAAACACTAGCTACTGAGCTTCTGAAGCAAGATGTAGTCAAACTATGATCAACACACAGCATGCAATACTCGGTAAGCCAGTGTGGGGATCAGAACCAGAAGGGGTAATGAATGGCAACTGAGGCCACGTAGACTCCTGGGAATCAGACTCCGGAGACTAGATTCATGGTGCAGATCGAACTTTACTGTCCAGTGTAAAAGCCTTTAAACTGAAAGGCCAATCAGACCATCCCATGCTGGCTTCAAGCACCAATATGAGGTTGGTGCAACTCTAAGGAAATAGGGTAGAGTGGGGAACAAGGGCACCTTAGGAGACTTCCATAAAGGGGAAGCAGTCACTAGTCTGGACCCATCTGAGACTTCACTAGTGTGCTGGGAGTCTCTAGTGGATCAACACTGTATGCAGTGATCAGGATCTTTCAAGGCGTTGCAGGTGACTGACCCTTCACCTGCCATTCCCTATGGACCTCCAAAAGGCTTATCTTGACATCCCCCACAAGCCAGGCATATGTGGGAGAGCTGGCAAGGTGGCCCTGTGGAGGCAGGACAGTAAGTAGCTTGCTGTAGTCATGCCCACTGGGAAGAAGAGAACAGGGAAGTGGCAGGGGGCTTCTGCCCCTTTCTGGAAATAAAATGTGATTTTGAGGATTAACTTTGAAAGACCATTCAGGGCTGCCAAGGTCAATGGTAAAACAATTCAATGCAAAGTTGAATGATTGATAGGCCAGCCAAGGTGGCACATGCCTTTAATCCTAGCACTGGGGACTAATCTCAAGAGGCCACAGGCCTCTAGTTCAAGGCCAACTTTGAACTAGAGGCCTGTGGCCAAGCTCCACGTTAGCCACACTACACAGTGAGACCTCGTCTCCAAAAACAAAAAGAAAGCAAAAAGTGACTGAGTGTCTATGATTCCCTGCTCCGAAACCTCTTAATGGTGTGCTTTGAGCAGTTGCTTAATTGTATCTGTAAAATGAGGACATCCAGGCCAGTAGGACAGTTCTGTGGGTAAAAGTACACTGTGCAAACTTGTCGATCTGAGTTCAATCCCCAGAATCCAGGTAAAGGTGGAGAGAACTGACTCCACAAAGTTGTCTTCTGATGGCCATGTGCCCTGAGTGGCATGCATGCACACAGTAAAAATAATACATGGACTCTGCAGTGGCTGTCTTGATTGGCATCATGCACGAAGACCTGTACAGACACCTGGACGTGTCTTATAGTTGGCCAAGTGCTTGCCTATCAGGTACTAAATCCTGGGTTCCATTCCAGTACCACATAACACTGGGAATGGTGGGGCTGGAGAGATGGCTCAGAGGTTAAGAGCACTGACTGCTCTTTGAAAGGTCCTGAGTTCAATTCCCAGCAACCACATGGCAGCTCATGACCATCTATAGTGAGATCTGGTGCCCCTTCGTGTGCAGGTGTACATGCAGACAGAACACTGTATACATAACAAATCTGTCAAAAAACAAAACAAAACAGAACAAAAAAACCTGGGAATGGTACTCCTGTAACCTCAGCAATTTAGACAGCTAGAATAGGACTGGCAAGACCACAGGAAAACTGAAAGCTCCATACAGAGCAGAAAAAGGCTGATGGAAGGTTAGGCCTGAATGGCTTTTCGAGAGGATCTTCTTGCTCAATGGTATTTTGTGAACTAGAAGAAATAAGATGTGGACAAACAGGCAGCCCACAGGCCAGGACACTAGGGTTCATTTCAAGAACCAAAATGTTGGTTTTACAGGGCAACAAGAACTAGACTAGACAGCCAGGTGGGGTGGCACATGCCTGTGATCCCCATCATTCAGGGAAGCAGAGGCCAGCCTGATCTACCAAAAAACAAATGAACAAAAAAAAAAACCAAAACAACTAGAGTACTGAAGTGCAAAATGGGAAAGTCTAGCTTCTGTTTAGGCTCTTCCTATGGAAGAGCTAAAAAAGGTCAGAGCTGGGGCAATGAACAGGGAGAGAAGACTTAGGAGACTTTGGGCAGGGACTGGAGAAGAATCTAGGCAACAGCTGTGCCCTTCACCTTCCTGCCGCAGGCCTCACCAGACAGCTGATTTGGAGCCCTTGGCCATCTGTGGGATTTTTGAGGCCATAGCTCCTGAGCAGAAGGCCTCCAAGCATTCCATCCCCACCCAGAGTCCACAGAGGGTGAGAGATAGGTGGAAAGAAACAGAAAACACCTTTTATTATCAACTCTAGTCCATGGACCAGCGGGCAGACTAGAGGTGCCCTAGGCATAGTACTGCAGGTTGGCTTTCTTCTTGGCCTGCACCTCTAGGATGCCTTCCATGTAGTCCTCATGAGTAAGTTCCGTGGCACCCCTGCGCAGTGCAATCATACCCTGCAGCCAGGACAGACATGATTTAGGGTGCCTCCTTTCACCCCAAGCCCAGCGTCCAAAGGCTTGGGTCCTCATATCCAGGGAAAGGGCAAGGCTTCAAACAATCCACTCACCCACCCTGACCACTCACCGCTTCCACACACACAGCCTTGCACTGGGCTCCATTGAAGTCATCAGTGCAACGGGCCAGCTCCTCATAGTTCACATCAGGACTGGAGAAGGGACACAGAGCTTGGTTATTCACAGGGAGAGAGCAGGAACGGAAAGCTGTTCTACGATGTACCCACCAAGCAATAGTCAATTTGCCTTCTGCTGTCAGGTAAGTCTTTACCCGGCCTGACTTTTCTTAGTATAAAAGAAGATGTTGGAGGCTAGTGAAAATTAGCCTTCTGGAATCCTGCTTCTGAGATAGCAGTAGGAAGTTTTCCTGGAGAACAAGGGGTTATACAGACAAAAGACAATGTAACTCCCAATAAAGCCCTACACCAGCCAGCACAGTGCAGCTGCCATGTCTGTCCTCACGTGCCAACCATTGTGCTTAAGACACCAGCACAGCTAATTCTCAAAGTAGAGCAAATTATCCCCACGTGTCACATAATAGAATATACTTTAGAGGATTAGGCCTTGTGCTGAAAGCTGTACAGGTCTGAGCTCAGCTCATCTGGTCCTGGCTAGATTCTCCTAAGTCATGCTTGGGCTGTGCACACCTACATGGGCTTTGGAGATCTGTGTGTCTTCAGGTGGGAGGGTGAGGTGCAGGTGACTGAGTACCTCAGCACCCAGGAAGGCCTGCCTGCGCCCAGCAAACTCTGCCTCAGGCAGGGGGAGAAACAGAGGCTATGTGCATGCCCAGGGAGGAAAGGCCAGAGGCTGGGGAAACACAGTAAAGGAATGGGATCAAAGGCCCAAAACGCTGCTGCAGCTGACCTGACATTCATCTTCCGAGAGTGGATCTGCATGATTCTGGCTCGGGCCTCCTCATTGGGCATCGGGAACTCAATCTTGCGGTCCAGGCGACCTGAGCGGAGCAGAGCAGGGTCCAGAATGTCCACCCTGTTAGTGGCTGCAATGACCTACAAAGAAGGGAAGCAGCAACTTGAACTGAAGAGCTGGACATCCACCCACAGGCACAAGTCATGGTAGTAACAGGAGGCAGCCTAGGGTATGGGAGGGACCGAGTCAGCAGCATTTTCTTTACTCACCTTTACTTGGGTGTTGGGCTGGAAGCCATCCAGCTGGTTCAGAAGCTCCAGCATGGTCCTCTGCACCTCCCGGTCCCCTGCCTTTTCGCTGTCGAAGCTGCGGTGCACAGGAGCCCGAGATGCCAGTAACATCACGGCGTAAGCACAGACTATTCCAACTTGTCCAAGGACATGGTTGCCTCAACTTGAGGCTCCCAGCCCAGGGACTGGCACAGAGAAAGGTGTCACCGACAGTTAACTGCAGCATTCAAAAGCTTACAGAGGCTTCCAGGACTAGTCCTGGGCTGGTGACAGACAGTGAGCAGAAACAGCTAGGGCTAGGCTGTGGTTCTGAGCAACGCATTACCCCATAGATCTTTACTCAGAGAATCAGGAACCCAGGCAGCCAACCCCAAGGAAGGGCTCTTGAGTCTATACATAATGAAAAAGCCGAAAACCAATCAGACACTGGGAGAGTGTCCAGGTTGGGGTGTGGGGGCAGGGTGAGACTGAAAGGCCAGGCCACAAAAATCTAGCATATATGCTAACGAGCAATGGGGTGACCTTCCAAGGGTTTAAAAT